TGTATAGACACCCTTGAACCATGGCAAGGATAAAGATAGTCTGATGTATAAAGACCCAAGACAAACTGCCTAAGAACGAAGGTAGAAAGGTGAGACTTCTCCGACATTCGAAAAAAAATCTAGGATGACAGCTGTTAAAAGACGAGTAAGGGACGGGGAGGCTCTCAAAACCAAATGACAAAAACTTCCCTTATCCAATGATGTGTTTTAATATAGAAACTTTTTTTCTTTCCTATTCTTCCGGCTCTATGCTAACTAAAGTCCCTAGTTACTCAGGCCCAAAAACTTCTCCCCACACGATCTAGTGATATAACGCAGGGTGTTCTAAAAGTGGAACAAATGTTAAGAAGTGCATTCTATTGATTCAATATCGATGAGTTGCAGTTTTATTAATGCTCTTTATATATTTTATTAATATTTTTGTTTTGAATGACTTTTTAAATTTAAAACGTTAATTCACAAATGATAAATAAATTTTGTAGCCTTTTAAAATTTAAAGGCGTTAAATACAAAATTTAATATTATTTTAATTTATTTTTTCTTGTAAAAAAAAAAACAAAAAAAAGTAAAATTTCTGTTTTATTATATTTACTCAATAAAGAACCTTAAATAGGCCTCATTTATATCCCACCTTCCTCCTTCACTTTCCATCTGCCTCCTCAAAATCTCTCTCTCTCTCTCTCTCTCTCTCTCTGACCCGCCATTAATGTCCCACACAGAAAGCTCAAATTTTGAACCTCCAAAACAAATTTGAAACCATACCCAACACCCAAAATCACTTTCACAGACATGTTAATGAACAAGAAGAAGAAGATTATGAAGCTCCCCTCTCTCTTCAAATCCTCCGCAGACGACAAGTCGACCTGGCCCTGGCCGTCATGTCGCCAGCCAAGAACCCTTTCTTTCCGAACCAACACTTCCGCCGCCGTCGTCACCGCCGCAACAGATTCCTCCGACTCCTTCTTTACACTCTCCTCCGATTCCTCCGGCAGCCTCTCAACAGCGTCGGATTGCTCCGGCGGCGACCCTATAGAGAGAATGATCCGAGGGCTCAGGTCAGAGAGACTCCTCTTCGAACCCGCCGGAAAATCGAGCTCGATTCTGAAAGAGAACGAAAACGGCGACGTGTCGCCGGAGTTGAAGGAGGGGACGACGGTAATATCCATGGATTCCGATGACCCATTTTTGGATTTTAGGAAATCGATGGAGGAGATGGTGGAGGCCCATGGGATGAAGGATTGGGAGAGCTTAGAGGAGCTTTTGAGTTGGTACTTGAGAGTTAATGGAAGAAACAACCATGGATTTATTCTTGCAGCTTTTGTGGATTTATTAGTCAGTCTTGCAATGGCGGCGCCGCCGTCTTCTTCCTCCTCCTCCTCTAATATTTCCGACAAATTTGTAATTTCTCCATTGGTGGGTTCGTGTTGTTCGTCCTTGTGTTCTTCATCTTCTTCTTCAAATTTGTTACCTTGTATATCCTCATCCATGGTGAAGATCGAGGAGATAACTTCATTAGATGAACATCACCATCATCTTTTTTCTTGATTTTTTTTAAATAAAAATATTCAACTATAGAAGAGGCAATCCATGTCTTATCCATAATTTTAATTTTTATATAAATAAGTTATATATTTATAATCAAATATGAAGAAAAAAAAAGTATTATTATAAATATGAGCTCAACTTTCAAATTTGAAAAATGTTACGAATATATAATTTTAATTTTTTTTTAGAATAAATTAGGTAAGTAATTGTATTGTATTATTTCTTGAATGTTTGTAAATTATTTTAATTTTATTTTTCATAAAATTGATATTTTGCTTTTAACGGAATTTTGAGTATTAATGCATACTGATATCATCAAATCTATAAAAACGACCAACTCTTGTTCATTATTAAATTCCATTTATTTTAGATGAAGTAGTTGATCCTCTACAACACGTCTCATCGTATAATAAATTCGGAGTAATTAATACCTTACACGTGGAGAATCCAAGGAGAGGAGTTTTGAAGTCATGGACCTATAAATATAATCGTAGCCGTTGATTTTTGAATTTGGTAGGTCGTTGTCTATTTTGCAGTTTTAGCAGACTCTTCGGCACAATCTCCCATTTATTTTATAATATATTTTTCTAAAAATGGATTTTTTATCAGATAAAATTAAATTATTATTCAAGAATTTATATATTAAAAAGATTTAAATAGGATATTGAAAAGGATAACATAAATTTTTTTTTTTTAAATATAATTATGATAATAAAGTTCTTATAGGACCATAAATAAAAAGGTCCCATTTATATACTTTATATAATAATAGGATAGAACAAAAATCCATAGTTTTAATTTGCGCCATGCATTCAGATTTCAGATTTTTTGTAAATGGCTATAAATAATAAATTTGAAATGAAAATGAAAATGAAAATATTAATTAATTTATAATATATATATATATATATTGGGAGGTGAGCAAATGAGCTACATGTCAAAAGAAAAAACAAAAAATGCGGGAATTATTCTTAATGTATGATAAGAAAGTCCCTATCTTTTTATGTATTAATATATTTTAAATTATTATTTTTATAAATTTGATTAAATTCATTTTAATGGTGAAAAATAAAAATAAAATGGAGGTTGTAACATGGGAGAGTGTAGGGTTGAGCGGCGAAGCTTCTAATCTCTGTGCCATAAATTTGATATTTGGCACTATAATTTATGCGAAGTATTAATTATTTATAATGAATATGTTAATTTTAAATAATCATAAGCTCTGTTCTTCATTTCTAGGTTCCTGCACTTCCCCATGTGCAACATTTTATTAATTAACCCTCCATTTAATAGCTTTGTGGCATTGTTTTAAACAGGGAAATATTTATTAGGGAGATTAATTAGTGTAGATAGATGTTGGTAATTGTAATTAATGCTTACTTAGAGAGTTATATTATATTTAAAATATGAGTCCAGAAACTTATGTCCATGTTTTCCTCTTTTACAGATTTTATTTAATTATTTTAAAATTTCATGAGACAGTGTTCATTAAAATAAGGTTATTAATGTGGATTTTGATGCTAAATAGTTGTCATTACTCCTTTTGGTATTATTATTATTATTGTTATTATATGGTTTGGTTTCTTTTTTTTTTTGTAATGAAGTGAAAGGATTGTGACCAAACATTGGAGAAGGCTGTGTTGTGTGTGTCTGTGTGCTCTTACATTTTCCAACCAGTTTTGTGTTCTTTGTTGTGCATTTAATGCTTCTCTTTGGTCGATGAGACCGAACCATCTCATCCTCCTCGGGCTTCTCTTGTCTTTCCCTCCATGTTGTGTCCTCTACCCTTCTATCGATTAGAGAGGTTTACACACCTGACAGCTTCACATCTGAGACTTATGGAGCTCTCGATCAAAGGCTCTAATACCATGTTAGGAATCACGATTATCCATAATAGTATGATATTGTCCACTTTCAGCCTAAACTCTCTCTCTGTCTCTGACTTTGTTTTAGGCTTTTCCAAAAGGTTCCATAGTATTCCTCACTTATAAACCCATGATCTTCCACTAAATTAACCAATGTGAGACTCACTCCCAATAATCCTCAACCTACAGAGACTATGATCAAAAGGTATTGTGTTTTAAAGAGAACACGAGACAAGGGTAATACTGTAATATGGGAGAATTTGGGTTATTTATTATTTATAAACGCAACCTGATCTAACAATTCTACGTTAATGAAGGAAGATGAGCCTTGATCGTAATTGGGCCAACACGAATGATTCTCCAACTCAAGCCCATCTTAAACACATGGGCCCAAAGTGAAAACAATGGCTATAATAAAATAATTGTTTTATTAAATGGCCATTGGATTTATATTTCTAAATTATGGGCTTTTTTTATTTTTTATTTTTTATTTTTAGGGTCACAAATAATTTTTAAAATAATCATTTTGATATTTTAATTTTTAAACTACATACTTTAACACGAAATTAATTATTTTGGTTATTGTATTTTAACAATTTGATTGTATAAGTTCAAGTATGTGTACTTTCATATAAATATATAACTTGATTCAAGTCACGTGCATAATTAATTATAGAAGCCAGCAAAATATTAAAATACGTATAAATGATTTAAGTCCTAATCTATTTATATCTTGGTTTTGGAGAACATTTATTAGAGATGGATAGAGTTAAGTGAGAGTAGTAAGGAAGTCGCACGTGGAGAGAGGGGAGAGGGAGTGACTATTAAAGAAACTTTTACAGAGAAAACTTAGTTCCCCTCTCTAACGAACGTGGATTCCACAATTCACTTCATTCGAGACCCAATGTCCTTACTGGCACACCGCTCAGTGTCCACTCCCTCTGCAGCACAACGTTATTGCTGGCACATCACTCGGTGTCCACCCCTTTTACGACACAGCATTATTGCTGACACACCACTTAGTGTCCACCCCACTTCAGGGCTAAGTGTCTTCTTAGATACAACACCTAGTGTTTGGCTCTAATATCATTTATAACAGCTCAAGTTCACCGCTTCTTTAGACTTTCGGACTTCTCCTTAAGGTTTTTAAAATGCGAAGAAGTTTCCACACGGTTACAAACAATGGTTCGTTCCTCTCTCCATCGACGTGGGATCTCATAATACACCTATTTTTCGAGTCTAGCATTTTCATTAGCACTCGTTTCCCTGTCTAATCGACGTGGAATCTAAGTCAAATACCCAACAGACAAAGACAGTGATGGAGAGAAGTCATGGCTTAAAAGGGGAGCTTAAACGTGAGGTGAGAAGAGGCAAAACAAGCAAGCAGTGAGGCAGTGATATCTGTGCCAAATTTGGATGTGGTGGAAGAGGCTTCAATTTCAACATTTTCCAATGAAATCACTGGATCTTCTTCAACTCTCTGCTCCATCATTCATGTCTCACTGCACACTGCCACCTCTTTCTCTCTTTCTTTCCTACTCATATATATATATATATCTATATATATATATATATATATATATATGTTTCTTCTGCATCTCAATCTGTGCAGCTCTGTTCTTCACTGTTCATACAAACTTATCATCATCTTCTTTAAACTGTGTTTGCCTTGTGCTCTGTGTCAACAAAAAAATTACAAAAATGTGGATTTAAGTTCATAAAATTTGTTCTTATTTCATCTAACTTCAATTCATAAGCTCTCATACCAACTATATATACTTTATATTAATCTCGAACAAGAAACATATATAACTTAATATCTTAGAACAAAAAAAGAGTAATAAATAAGCATTCATTCCTTTCTTCACTCAACTTTGACATCACGCCTCCCATTCATATCCTCGAAGTTAAATTATATATATATATCTTTAGTTGAATATTTCTTTACGCAAAAGAAAAAGAATAAAATATTATTTTAAAAAAAAAAACTTCCATGTATTTGGCAATTAGCGAAAGAAACAATTAACAATAATTACATCTGCATCTTCCCAATCCATCAAGATCCCAAAAACCATCCTATCTTCAGAATTAAACAACAAAAAAGAAAAAAAAACGGCTAACACTGATCGAGAAATGCGAAGCCATGATGAGGCGACGGTTACAAGGCGCGTCTCTGTTTTCTAGCCGCCGTCGATCTGCCACAGGATACGCCGTCCCAGATCTCGGCAAAAGCTCGAATTATAATCCCATGGTTACAAGGCGAATTGAGATGAAGAAAACAGCTAAGAAGCTCTCGAAGCCCTTCTTGAGTGTAAATTTCGTTTTCCAAAATCATTTGCAACATCGATTGCCGGAAATCCACATACGGATCGTTGGAATCCTTCTCCACCGCCACGCTCACGCCACCGATTTTCCACGACTCGTTACGGACAACCTCAGAGCCATACGCCATGTCGACGTCGCTAAGCTTCTTGTCGGAAAAACTCGAGGGCGAGCGGAAGAGACGGCGGTCGGAATTGGAGTTTGGCGACTTGGGCTTGGGGCGGAAAATCTGTGAGAGAATGGATTTGGGCTTCCGGCAACTTCCACAGCCAATGTCGACGGAGGTGAAGTTGACGAGAAGCTTTTTTTTGACGGCGGCCATTATGGGTGGAGGTGGAGGAGGAGGAGGAGAAAGCAGAGGAATGGCGGAGGGGAAATGGGGAGTGAAGTGTTTAGAGATCTATAAATCCTGCACGTGAGCTACGACTGGTCCCACGTGTATGATGACCTTGTCTGACCTTTTTTAATAATCCAAATTTTAATTATGAAAAAGACATTATTATTTCAATTTGCTTACCCTTCCATCTTAATTAATTATTGGCGTGTTCGATTAATTATGATGGCCCTCTTGACCCAAAATCCTCATTTTTAAATTTTATTTATTTATTTAATTACAATTAAAAATATAATAATAATTAGGAAAGTGTTTAAAGATCCTGCAATCTCAATTAATAGCACAAAGTCTTCGCTTACAAAATTGATAATTTAATTAATTTATAAAGGAATATCATAATTAATTCCCGTTTTCAAATTTCCATCATCCCTTAATAATTAATTTATTTGTATTTTCAAACCAATTAATTGAATTTCAATACTCGAGACCTTCAAAGTTGAATCTCATTATGACTGACTCCTCCTCGGCTATCTTTAACATTTATGATATGATTTTGTCACACATTAGCCAACTAGTAATCATATGATAAGTTCAGTTTTAGAAATTATATTTGTTTATTTTTTTTTTTTTTATTATTTTTTTTTTAGGTACATGAACCCGGAGATGTTTTGAATTCATATGGTATATGGCCATGTCGGGTGTCAAGTTGGCAGATTACATACATAAAAACTTTATTGTATAATGAAAAATTGGATGTATATGTTTGATAAAATAAATATTTGTGGATATTAAAAAGAATTGACACAAAGTTAAATGGTCCATGAAGTCACGAGGTCACGAGGTTGCCTCCCAACGTTACACAAAATCCTAAAACCCACCACTTTAATTTTATCTATTAACGTTATCTACTCTCTTTTCCATTTTTAATGTTATATATTGAATGAATTAAAATCATGGTACTGAATCTGAATAATATGACCATGTCATAAGAAACTTAGAAGAGTGTGGAATGTTTGAATCTTCCAAATCTCAACTAAGAACATAACAATTGATTTGACCTCAAGTTCGGGTAATTGTTGACCAATGATTGATGCAAAATCTGGTAAACAAACTTCCAACTAATAACTACTTATAAGGCATAAAGGAGTTGGAATTAGAGAAGGAAGGAAGGAAATAATATAGTCTTTGGAAGGCCAAATCGAATGCAAATAATAGATGCCGCCACGTCTCTTAGCTTGCTGGTAAACCAAACTTTGCACTTTTTTGGGGTGCTGTCTGACACAATCGCACTTTTAAAGGCAGCGGACTAGCGATTGTGTGGGACTCACTTTCCAACGACAAGTGAGCTAAGCCAATTTGTACTTGCGTCGCCTACGGCCAAGCGACGTATGATCGAGCCTCTAGCCTCGGTTTTAAAAGAAGGTTTTGGAAAACGAGGGTAGAGAGAGATTTTAGAAAGAGAGATTTTAGAAAGAGACGTTATATAAGCAAGCAAGAGAGAGATAACAACGGCTTAGCATATATAACCTTGGGTAGGGAGAAGTTGACAACTAGTCATATCCCCCTATAGTACATTTTGAGACATTTCATGTCTGGCAGGCCTAGACATGATATTTTTGAGGCGTCATACACCCTAGAACTATAGAAGTAAAAACACTAGAATGAAAAGACATGACAAGGGTTTGGCTTGCCATAGGCATGCGGCCATGGGCAACACGCCCTGGACGAGCATGACCGTGACACTGTCTAGCAGATCTCTTTCATTTTCTATTTTAATTTTGTAATTACTCTAACCATATAATTATCTAAAAATCTTTTAAACTAACTTCATAATTCGTATTCATCACTACCAATAACTTTTATTAGAAGACTCAAGCCGACGCAAATAGTAATTGCATGAGATGATCGTTGGATCTCTGGAAGTTGTAGTTGGAAATAATCTTCAATGGTGAATGCACGGTAGTTGCTAGCAGTGAGTTCACCGTGGTTATCCTTCACGATCATCGACAACGTGTGGGGTTAGTGTTGGATAGTGGCTACTAAAGTATTTTAGTCATTTTAATATATTATTTTGTTAACTATTTAAAAAAAAAAAAAACACTTTTTCTTCACCAATTCCATTAAAAAAAAAAAACCAATCTTATTTCTTTAAATTCCTTTATTGAAAAATTATTACAATAATTAAAAAATAAAGAAAATGAAGATAAGATTGACAGATAGATTTTGTTTGTTTTCTAACCATATTTTGACTAAATTTTTAAAAAATTAAATGATTATTAAACCTGACTTATTATTATTATAAAACATTAGTAAAGAATATATATTATTTTTGTAATTTAAGTCTTTGTATATATTATTATAAAAGTCTTCTTATATTCTCATTTACTTTTCTTTTGGAACCCATTTCGTCGTTCAAAAATCTATCTAACATGATAATACTCGACATTAAATTTTTTCACCCTTACGTCATTTAAATAAGTTAAAAAAAGAAAACAATAAGATAATAAAATTAGTTAAATTTTAAATTAATTATTAAACTTCCTTATTAAAATAATAATAATAATATTATAGTTTTATAAAATTCGTAACTAAAGAGATAGGAATGAATGTAGACAACAACTGAACTAGAACTAGAGTAATTCTGAGGATAAGATGACTAAGAAGTAATAGAAAGATATGATATGTGGTAGGAAAATGTTGATGATCGAATATTAATTATGTTTTATATTTAAATAATAGCTCGAGATTTGAAGAGGTAATTTAAAACGAATTAAAGATGTGATAGAGATGGAAAATTAAATTAAGAATATTGGGAAGGCCAGGTCAAAATCCAGAAATTTAATTGAAGGGTGGATTAATAATAAATAAATAAATAAATAAATAAATAATAATAATAATAATGATGGGAGGGAAAGTGGGAAGATGGTGAACCAACTACAACAATTTTTGAAAATAAATTAGAGAGCGTTACTCCCTAGGTGCTTTGAGCCTCCTTAATTAACGACATGTTTTTGAGTTTTAAAATATATATTTTTTTATTTCATTCGACTTTACGTTATCACATATGCAAGTTTTAAATAAATTAACTATATGACTAATTCAAATAACACACCTTATAATTGTTAAAAATAATGCTAATATTTATTCACATTAATCTTTTTCTACCTTATATTATTTTTTTATTCAAATGGATTAATATTTTATCTGAATTGACTTTTTTTTTTTTTTTAGTTTAATTTGTGCGTGAAGGTTACAAATCCCCAGTTGATGAATTAAGCAATTAATGAATATTTTCATTATTATTTGTAAGTTGTAATAAAAAAAATTAATTATAGTTTCCATTTAAAGATAATTATATAAGAACAAAGCAACTCAAAATACCGAAAAAGGAAAGGAAAGGGAGAAATAAGAATAAGGAGTGTGGGAAATTACCAAACTACCCTCCTCATAACTGCCTGAAGAAGACAACCAAACTGGTTTTGAATTAGAAGAAGAAGAATCTCAGGAAAATCATCGCTTCTCCCCTCTGACTGAATCGCGTGCAAGAGAAAGACGAAGACGTCCTCCGCAAGAAATCTTCTCTCTCCTCTCACTTTCTCTCTCTACAAACTCCATAACTATATATCTTACCTTCCTCCCAATCCCCATTTCCTTCACGCCATTCCAAAATCCTTTCCCCCAAACCTTCAAACTCCGCTCTCCTTCTTTCTCTTCCAGAGATTTCTGGCGTTTCTCGTTTTGTACCAAGTCAACTGACGGACTTCAATTTCTTCTCCGATCACGGTAATATTATCTCTGCCGTTTCCTTATTTATATGTTTTTTGATTATTGGTTAAGACTTTGGGCTTTTGGATGTTGGATGCTGAGTCTATTTCCTTTGTTGTTGAGCTCTGTTTTAGGTGAATTTGGCGGGAGTTGATTGTGTTGTGTTGTATTGTGTAGTGAATCACAATGTTGGGGGAGTTTATGGTTCGATGCCTTCTGTGAGTTCTTTGTTTCTTCGATTCCAAGAGAGTTTCTCTGGTTTTTATTTTTCTTTCTGGCGGTGGATTTAGTGATTGATGAATATTGATCGATGTAGGATGCTGTTTGGCTATGCTTATCCTGCGTTTCAATGCTACAAAACGGTTGTGCAGAGTCGGATTGAAATCCGAGAGCTTCAATTCTGGTGTCAATTTTGGTAAGAACGAATCCGGTTTTGCTATTCGATTTAGTGGTGCGGTTGATGATTTGTGCCCTGATCTATAGCTGTTGACCTGATTATTTTATCGTCTCTCGTAATCAATAAGCATTTATTTCTCGAATTCCATTCTAGTCCTTCTGATTATAGCTAATTTACATGCGCAACCTTGATGAAGAGCGATCGACTTAGATTTTTGTGTTTGGGCACAACAGTGGAAAGGGTTTTGTTGACGCTCTTTATGGCTTTGCCTTTGTCTGCTTTGAACATTGAGTTTGAGTAGCTTTCACTCCACTTTGTTTTTTATTACGTTACTTTTGAATTGAAAGCCTATTTATTCAATATTTGCAGGATCATTGTGGCCATTTTAACAGTTGTTGAGAGGATTGCTGACACTTTAGTCGCATGGTATGTGTAGCTTTCTTTATTTCTTTCCCTGAAGAATGTTAATAACTTGTTGCATTTCTCATCATTTCGCCTGTGCTTAAAATTTATGGTCCAAAACTTTGTCAGGTTGCCCATGTACGGGGAATTGAAGCTGGCCCTCTTTATCTATTTGTGGTATCCAAAGACCAAGGTAAGGAAACTGAGAGATGTAATCATTGAAGCTAATTCTCTATATGTAAGAAACATTATGTACACGATATTAAAGTTCTAATCATTACGCGACGCCTAACTTAGCTCATATAACCATCAACACGAATCAGAAACTACTTAAAACACTATGTGAATTATCAAGGTTTGGTGTCAATTTGAAGCTTCAGAATCAAATTGATTGCCGTTAAGTTTCTTGCCATCTAACTGTTAACGCAAATTAGGAACTATTTGGAACTAAAATGTTGATTTTGAAACTTCATTGAAGTAGAAACTGTCTAAATCTACCAAAATTATAGGAATCTGAAGTCCTATTTCAAAATTTTCAAACAAGTAGCTTCAGACCAAGATGTAAGAGCACAGGACATTTATTTCAAATTTGGATACAGCTGATCTGTTTGTTAATGTTGGGCTAAAACAATGCAGGGAACAAAATATGTGTTCGACACTTTGCTGCGGCCCTTGGTAGATAAACACGAAACAGATATTGAACAGAAGATGGGGGATTGGAGAGTGAAGGGCTGGGAATTGGCCCTGTTCTACTGGAAAAACTGTACTGAGTTGAGCCAATCTGCAATCGTCCAAGTTATTAACTACATAGCTAGGCCTGCAGCTGCGGCCCCAGAAGACAGGGTAACCTTCTGATCCTCTTCCTCGAAGCCCTTTTAGTTTTAGCAGTTAATGAGAGCAAGAAAGAACTTATTTTCCTGTGCTTTTAAGACATTTACAAAAACCTTATTAGGAATAGAACCCAGCCGGAGCATCGAAATCCATTTAATTAGCGATAAAATTTGACATTTTGCAGAGGAACGAACGTCACCAACGTCCAAGTGCGCCGCCAGCGCCACCACCACCTCCGCCGCGTCCAAATGACCTGCCCTCGTTCTTCCACAAGCCTCCAAGGAAGACCAAGGACTCGAGCAAGAGCAATGCCATGAAGTGGTTTCCAAGTGCCCCTCCTCTGCCCGGTTCCAGTAATCGGCGTTCCACAGCCACATCGGAGGACTTTGATGTGCAATTTCCCCTTCATGATCAAACAAACTATTTTTATGAAGATCAAAACCACAACCAAGCTCGATTCCGAGGATCCAAAAAAACCTACTAGAAGTTACCGAACAAAAAACTGTACATAAAAAAGAAGAAGACAACACTGCAAACCCTCTCCCGACCAAAGGAAGATAAAAGATTAGATTCATTTTGGAACTTTTCATCAAACATTTACATCCCAATTTTTCCTTTTCTTCTTCTTCTTAGACTGTACTCATAGGGGTGTATGTGCATATATTCATTAATACATAGAACAGAATAGAAACAGATGACGATTTATTTCAGTCAAAGGGAGGAGCTGATTTGTATTCCCCTTGACCACCATTAATAGACAAAACTGAACCCCACAACGCGAAATATCCGATCCAAAGCCTTTGTCACACTGGAAATTATGTGCAGGTTGAGGAAGCCTAGACAAGCTGAAAATCTGAGCCAGATACGGCGGAGGAGGTGGGGTCCTGATGATCCCGGAGAGGAAGACATGGGTTGAAGATACGCCCAAGCCGCTTGCTTCACGAGGCGGTTGCGGATCGAGATCTCAAAGCCCGAATTCGCTGCAGAGGCGGCGGTGGGAGAGCTCATGGAAGTCGGAGATGGCAAAATGTCTCTGAGAGAAGTGTAGGTAAGGGAGTGGGAGGAGGATTTAACCGGGAAGAGCTCGAAAGCCAATGGCGGCGATGCAGCTGAGCCGCCGGAGGACTTGGTGGCGGAGAAGGCGAAAAGGTTTAGTTTTGATGGCACAACGACGGGCACCGCGATGGAGTTTCTTCGGCGGAGATTCGGCGGTGGTGGGTATGGTTTTTGAGCGGAGATATCATCCATGGCGGCAGAAACAGAGGCTTAGTGGAGAGGAGAGAGAAGGAAGAAGGGTGGCGCGTATTTGCATTAGGGGAAGAACACAATTAAAATTAAATGGTCAGAATCGTTGATTGTTCTTTTCAACCCATACTTTTTCTTTAAAATGTGAAAAAGGTGAAAACGAAATTCTTAAACTAATCCTCTATTTTCCAAATTCGCAACAAGTTTAGAACAAGTTTGTGGGTTTAGGAACGCCACATATGCTCCTTCCATCAACATAGCCGATGAGTCCAATCCCAATTTTCCCCCCACTTGTCGTTTTCATAATCTTTACCTCACCTTCTTTGTTCAGTTTGTTAATCAACATCAATTTTGTTTGTGATCGTATATCATAAATGAACCCACGTGCACATTAGACTCAAATAATATGTCAGATGAATTTTTTTTTTAAATGTATAGGCATTCCTTGTTCGTGAATGTTTTCATCAAAAGATACTTTTTGTAATTAGTACGTTTCTTTTAATATTAATGGATCAAATTTTCTTATCTTCTTATGTGGTAAGGAATATAGTAAGGTTGGTAGGTAAAAGTCAAAAAGTGGGTATGAAATGAAAAATTCACCAACAAAATAAGAATATTATAAAGTGTGATTAGTAAGACAAAATATGGAGGAAGAAAGAGATTAATAAGAATAACATTGGTAAAAGTGACTAGTTTTAACCATGTTAAGAATAATAATAATAATAATAAAAAAGGTGAGGAGTTCAAAAGTAAAAATTAAAAGAAGAAAAAAGAAATTGGACTAAAAATGAATCTTTTTTTTTTGTTCGACTTTATTCTCTGTCCCTTAATATGTTAATATTTGAAGTGCAGATACGACAAAAAAAGATGCAATCAAAAATATTTTTACAATAAATATTTGAACTTTTCACCATAAAAAAATTAATATATATATTCACTAAATAATTTAATTAGTTAAAGTTTATTCTCGTAACGAAGAAATTAGAGATTCAATTTAATTTATTATATATATATATATATATTTACTCTCAACACTTTTGAAATCTTTAAAAATTGTACTAAAAAAATGTATAAAAATGGAAAATTCAAAATAGTGGTGAAGGGAGGTGGATGGATGGCATTATAGAAATGGGCCGTAGGCCTGAGATTCAACAACTTATTTATATGGGCCAAGCTTTCTAAGCCCAAAATCTGATGCGAAACTACCATATTACCCTTCTTCTTCTCGATCTTCCTATCTGTACCAAACTGGATATTTCCAGGATTGCCCCCAAGTGTGTGGAGGTGAACCAGGGAGCTATCCAACGTTCCCTTTACTTATCCTCTCGTCTCCATTTTTGCGCCTTAGACTGACTTTCTGCTGCAGCTTCCAGCTTCCTCCTCCGCTATGGCTTGCTCCGCTGCTACCGCCACCGCCCTCTTCTCCTCCAACCCCTCCGCTTTTCCAGCCAAGTCCAATGCTCCCACTGCTTCCGCCCCCTCCTCTCGAAACCTAGCACTCCCCAAATCTTTCGTCGGCCTTCGTAAGTCCTTCCAGCCTTCCGCCCTTCGTTCAATTTCCTCCTCCCGTGGAGCTAGGTCCAGACGGAGCTTTGCTGTCCGAGCTTCTGTAAGTGTTGCATCTCTCACTATGCCCTTGTTTTGCGGTTCTTCAGTTTTTTGGTGAAGTTTGAAATTCGTAATTTTCGTTTTGTTTTCCTTGTGCTTCTTGTTTGGTTTTTCTTTCTGAAGTCCGAATGCATTTAATAGGATGTTTTGTTTCCCCTAATTTTGGTTAATTATGTAATGATCAATGGGGCATTTTATTCGTATATATTTGGATATTGGCGGCAACAATTAGCCATTTCTTTTGTACTCCGACTGCATTATGCCAAAATTTTGGAAATCGAACTTATCATTCCTTAAATGTCGCCTTTTCAAATACCCTTTTCTGAAAACTTCTCCTGTCTTCGTTATGTTCTTTGAATTTTTCTTCACGTATTCAGATTATTGATTCAGTCATGCAGGGGTGAGTTTAAAGAGTTTGTATCTATTATAATTTTCATGTATATTGTATATGCAACTTATGATGTTTGTTCGTGCAAGGCAGAAATCAGCATCTTGTAACTCAAAATATGAACATGCGAATTATTTCTTTTGAGGGTTCCACTTCTGACGTTGTGTTCCATTATTTGTTTTTACAGAGTGAGTTGCCATTGGTTGGAAATGTAGCACCAGATTTTGAGGCTGAGGCAGTTTTTGATCAGGAATTTATCAAGGTAATTCTCCATGGCTTAGGTTTTGGATACTGCTTATTCCTCTGTGTCGTCATCTGGCTGTATTAGTGCAATGATTTTTGGAGTAGAATTACAGTAAGCCTATAAAAGGTTTGGTTAAAGATTATGTGCAAGTTTCAAAGGTTTACCATTCAGGATTGCATCGTCTTCACATTTGATCTGAAGTGTTACGGTTTCAGGTTAAACTTTCAGAGTACATTGGGAAGAAATATGTGATTCTCTTTTTCTACCCATTGGATTTTACGTTTGTTTGCCCCACAGGTTTGTTGCACTAAACTATCCCAAATTGAAGCTCAGCAAATATTGTCTTGAGCTGCTTTGAACTTGTGTTTATTTTACCTCCTATTTTGTAGAGATTACTGCTTTCAGTGATCGGTATGAAGAATTTAAGGAGCTAAACACAGAAGTTTTGGGTGTTTCAGTTGACAGTGTTGTAAGTAGATACTTGCTTCTCTTGTTCAACAAAGTTATACTTTTGCAAAGAAGTTTTGTGTTGATGAAATTCTGTTTCTATTCCTCAAAATGTTGTAGTTTGTTCTTTGAGATTTCACATCGATTGGAGAGAGAACGAGTGCCAGCGAAGATGCTAGGCCTCGAAAGGGGGTGGATTGTGAGACCCCACATCGGTTGGAGAGGGAACAAAACATTTTTTATAAAGGTGTGGAAACCTCGCCCTATTAGATGCGTTTTAAAAACCTTGAGAGGAAGCCCGAAAGAGAAAACTCAAAGAGAATAATATCTGCTAGCAGTGGGCTTGAGCTGCCACAATTTTGGTTGTGATTGTGATTGTGATGATACTAAATAGAACCTTTTTGCAGTTCTCACATCTTGCTTGGGTCCAAACTGATAGAAAGTCCGGTGGGCTTGGTGATCTTCAGTATCCTCTGGTTTCTGATGTCACTAAATCAATTTCAAAATCTTATGGTGTGCTGATCCCCGATCAGGTATGTCAATATCATCCCCTACTGTTTTGTTTTGTGAATTACAAAGTTTGTTCCAAATTAGGCCTCTACCATAAAATCATTGTTCTAAGAAACCAAGCAGCTAATGAGCTGTTGTGAATAAAAACCTGGAATTCAGTTTTTGTTGACATTGTAGTGAGAAAAATGTGAGATCGTTGGTTGGAGAGGAGAACGAAACATTCCTTATAAGGATGTGAAAGCCTCTCCCTAACAGATGTGCTTTAAAACCGTGAGGCTGACTGCAATACGTAACGAGCTAAAGTGGACTATATCTATAAGCGGTGGACCTTTAGCCATTATTTTAATTTTGTAGGCATTGTTTGAGTATACACCTCTACAATAGGTGTAGAAGTCACATGGTTGTAATTGCTTACCTAACCTTTATCCACAACAATTTAATGAACAGGGAATTGCACTAAGGGGTCTGTTCATAATTGACAAGGAAGGAGTTATCCAACACTCCACAATAAACAATCTTGGTATTGGTCGGAGCGTAGACGAGACGAAGAGAACTCTCCAAGTAATTTCAATCATTCATCTAACAATAAGAAGATTGTTTATCAAGAGTTGTTGTTCATAATTTCCTTGTCTTTGATGTTGCAGGCATTGCAATACGTGCAAGAGAACCCCGACGAAGTTTGCCCAGCGGGATGGAAACCCGGGGAGAAATCGATGAAGCCAGACCCCAAGGGTAGCAAAGAGTACTTTTCTGCTATTGCTTAATTGCGTGTAAGAAGTTTGAATCTGGTGCAATGCCATTGCCAGTTTAGTTAATCCGCTTGTGGAACAAATTGGTTAACGAGGCTCGAGTCATCTCATCATCTCGTCATCAGATATATAGAGTCGAATTTTATCTTCTTTAGATGAATTATGCAGACAGTCTCTATGGTTTGTTTTGTAGAATTATTATCCTTGATTTGCAATGGCATCAATGGTTTCACGCCCTCTACTGCTCGTGTCTTTTTCTGTCGATGAACTCTAAATTTCACGATCGATCGAAAATGAATCGAACTTCGAGTTCTCGGATTAAATCTGCTAGAATTTGTATCCTCGTGATTCGATAAACCGAACTTAAACTTTGATATTTAATTTGATTGCTTAACACACAATCTTTCATGGAATTAATACAAAATTATACACTTTTTTTTGGGACATTAATCATTAAACATGTGCCCAACATGTCCACGCCTACCATTCATAACTTCAAAGTCAAATTGTACTATACATTTTTTATTTCAATTAATAATACATAATAATTATAAACAAAGCCTTTATATTCCCAATTTCTTTTTCTTTTCACTTCCAACATTTATACATAAATGCCCACAAGAAAATAATAAAAAGAAAAGGAAAAAAAAAGGATAGTTTCCTGTGTTCCTGTGTTCCTGTGTTCCTGTGTTCCTGTGTTCCTGTGTTCCTGTGTTGAAGTTTATATAATATTATATCTTTATTATAAAATATTGTATACCCAAGTAAAGACAAAACACCCCCATTTCTTTCCATCAACCACTTTGACCAAAACCACATGTATTATGTGGCAATCTCTGGTTCGGCCACGTAACTCCTCCTGTCAGCATCTTCCCACACCAACTGTGAAATTATCTCGTCGTACTCCGGTTTGTATTCCTGTCGTATTTACCAAAAACAATTAAAAATTAAAAAAAAAAAAAAAAAACTCAAAATCCACTTTTATAAATTCTCCTGTCTAAGACCACAATTAGTCGATATTTTCTGTTTTGTTACAATATAGCTCGATATTTTCTGTTTTGTTACAATATAGCTGTTATTCTCGCGATTTTAAAACTTATTTTCACACTTTTATTAGAAATATTTTTGTTTCAATGTAAAGTTAGACCGTGATATTATAATTATTACCATAAAAAAAAAAAAAAAATATACCTCAAGTTGTTGGACTAAAAGCTTAGCAGTTGGAGCAGACACAATAATTCGACGTGCAGTTGGCGAAACAAAGCCTTCATCAACTGTTTTATCGATGAAACTCAGCAACGAATTGTAGTATCCATCCACATTCAACAGTCCCACCTGTGCAAATTTTATATCATTTTTTTCATAATTAATTGCTTCTGTTTTATACTCTAATCATCCAACTTTGTTTGACCAGCAATTTAATGTGCCTTTTAAATTTAACATCTCCTCCTCTCCTGGTTTCCATCAAACTATTTTATTAATAATAATAATTGCGGTACGATTACCAACTTCACTCGCATTCACATGTTTTGATTCTATTCCAAACATTGTTATTGTCTCGATTTCGGATTTAGGGTTGACCTAACCGTTACCCGTATCGAACATTTGACTAAACAGACTCAAGAACTCTATTGATTAGGATTACAATCATAATTTTAATCTTTTAGAAATGGGGAATGGGATTCTTCATAACTTGTTTATGAAGCAAAAGGGTGTTGAAAAATGGGATCTTTTCTGGTGTGTTCTCCAAAATACATGGGGAATCATAAGGTTATTAATAATCATGGAATTATAAAATGGAGGGCCTAACTAGAACATGCTTATCATGTGAAATGGCTATTATGATTTTATATCATTATGCCTTAAACACGACATGCCATTTATGGATGAGTCCTTAAACACGACATGCCATTTATGGATGAGTCCAAATGTTTATGTTAGACAAATACGACTCTCCACAATAGTATGATAATGTCTACGTTGAGCATAAGCTCTCATGACTTTTATTTAGGCTTTACCAAAACGCCTCACACTAATGGAGAGAATATTTTTTTTATTATAAACTCATGAAGATTTCCTAAATTAGCTGAAGTAAGGACTTTCTTCGTCCAAAAGTTTAGCCAAAATTCCAAAGTATGTTCACATAAAATGAAGATTTTTTAAACTTTTTTTTTTTTTATGTACTCACTGGCTTGCGATGGATCCCAAGTTGTGCCCATGTAATAACTTCAAGAAGCTCTTCAAGGGTCCCATATCCTCCTATGATTCAATTTCAAAGTTGTTAAATTCACCGAATTTGAACCCGAACCTGAACCCAAACGACGTATGAGGTCAACAAGTACCTGGTAAAGCGATGAAAGCATCGGCTCGGCGAGCCATCTCGGCCTTTCTTTGGTGCATATCCGACACCGGTTTGACTTCTCCAACAGTCCCACCAGTGATCTAAACATATTCAAAATTCATAAACTTAGTAGCCATTAGTTCATGCAAAGGAGAAAAAAGATGGTACAAATGTTAGAAGTTTAGTGTATGTACCTCAACCGGCATTAGGGTTCGTGGAATTATTCTGTAGAACAAACAAAAACATACAAAGATCAACATTCCATGAATGTTCTCATTGACTTGCAAAACATAAAAATTCATCAGTGTTTTTACAAATAATAATGAAATAGAGCTGTCGGGTTCCAACAAAATCATAACTTTTTGAACAAAAGCCCAAAAGAACTTAATTATGAATGATGTCTTGTAATTGGAAGATGAGATTATGAAGAAATGTAGAGAGAGAGAGAGAGAGAGATAAACCCTAGAACATGACGGCCGCCATCATGAACAGCTCGAGAAACAAGACCCATCAATCCCACGCTGCCTCCTCCATAAACAAGATCAATTCTTCTCTCCACCTTACAAGAAAAAAAACACAAAAGCATTCAAAATTCAAACACGTGGCGCAAGAAAACAATAGAAAAAAAAAGTTTTGATTTTTAAACGATAATGGAGAAAATGAGGCATAGAAGAATGTGAAGCAGATAGCCAAGTGTAGCTAAAAAACCAGGGATCATTAGAAGTGTCATCATATCAAGCAAACACGTTTAGATCATGCATGAGACAGGTTATAGCTCAACTCGTCGTGGTACTATCAAAGATGATGACTCTGAAAGAGATGGATCATTTTTTTTTATAAAAATTTAAAAACTTGGGAGGAAAAAGGAAAAGGAAAGAACCAGTTCTTTGGCAAGCTCCACAGCAGCAGACTGGTAGGTAGGCTTGTTCCCAGAACTGCTTCCACAGAAAACACAAATCCTCTTGAATTTGGATTTTGTCTCTTCCATTCTTCGTTCTTTCTTTCTCTCTCTAAAATGAGACAAGGAGGAAGCTTGAGAAACAAACCCAACTGAGAGTTTGTTTATATCAACACCAAAACTCTTTTAAATTTAATTAAAAAAATTAAAAAGTAAAAAGAAATGGCTTTTGTTCTTTTCTGAAATTTAAAAAAGTTACAAGTTTTTTATATTATATGGAAACTGGAATATTTGGAGAAAAACTCCTCTTTTTTTATTTTAAATTTTACATTTGTTTTTCATATGGGATTTTGATTACGAATGTGTATACGTAATCTACTAAGCGTGGACCTTTGAATCTGCGTCAATACGAATTCGACACGTGGACTGGGTTCGATTTTAATTTGATTATGATAAGTTGTGTTCCACGTAGGTCAACATATTCTTATTTACGCATTTTAAGGATAATTAGCACGAGAAAACTTACCATTTTATGATTATTATTATTATTATGATAATACCCATTAATAACAACTTTTTCAACGTTAATACTCTATTATTCAATCAATTTTGCTCATAATTATTAATTGCGTTTGCATTAGTTTAAGGGTGTAAATGGACTGGCTCAACTTGATATATATATATATTTTTTTGTTGAATTTAATCCAAATTAACCTAATGGTCTTCTCTTTGTTTCTCGAGCCTATAATGAGTTACAGATAGAGTTCGAAAATGTCAAATCTTTGATGATTCCATCATATATGATTGAGTTGCGAAAACTTCTGGATAGGTATCCCACACCTGAACTGAATTCTTTCTGATTAAAGAATCTCTTTCTAGTTGCTCTGGAACAATTAGGAGATTCTCTAGAAGAAATATGAGATCTGCTTCTGGTGGCAATATGCTATGGGGTGGCGGTCCTGCTTATGAGGTCAAATCAATACGTTCGAAGAAGAAAGATTGAAATATCAATCTCAATCCCATCAATCGAATCGAAGAAAAATCAAAATTTGGCATGGAAATCAATTTTTTTTTAAAAAAAATAAGACAATTGACATGAAATTGCTGTTAGATTCCAATTGGAGATGAAGAACAAAACATTTTGTATAAGGGTCTGGAAGTCTCTCCTTAATAAATGTGTTTGAAAATAGTGAAACTAATGGTGATAAGTAACTAAATCAAAATTGGACTATAATAGGTGGTATCAGAACCAGACACCAAACAGTATACCGACGCATACGTTGGTCTCCAAAAGAGTGGTTGAGGCTCAGAATGATGTATAACAGATATCTCCTTGCGGTGGATTTGAGTGGTTACAAATTCATTACAAAGTTGCTTTCAAATGTTGTCCAATAAAAAAATACCCAAAACAACGACAATAATAATATTAAAAAAGAAGTTGTGTTTTGCACTTTTTGTGATTTTAATAAACGACCAATCCAATTCATGCATCCCATATCGCCATCAATCTCTCCCATTTAAGAAAAATGTAATTTTGTTTGACTAAAAGAGAGGATATATATAAAAATTAATACAATATATTATGATAATATGTTATTGTCAAAAGATTCATATCTTTTATTTTAATAACAACGTAGTTTCGTGTGGAGAATAATACACACATAAATATTCATAATTATTTTCATGGATTATACCTCTCTTCAACCGATGTGGAATCTCACGAAGACAATATTTGTTAGCGATGGGCTTGAGCTGTTACAAATAGTGTGAACGGTGTTCATAAAAAACATGTTTTAAAACCATGAGATTGAAACGATACGTAACGGGCCATTATTTACATCTTCAAAAAAATTCACATAAACTTTATCGCTAACTTTATAGCGCTTTAAAAAAGTGATTCCGTGAAGCAATTCTAAATTTTGGTTTATGAGACAGGGTAAAGCATAAGAATATGAATATAAAATTTTAGTTTTGTTGTAAAGTGATGTTTTGACAAAGAGAA